TATATATATATATAATAAAAGAATGATGAATGGCGACACACCACTTGTAATCTATCTAGAATATTATTAAGAAAAAGACGCCGATTCGACGCCGCTACCGCAAGAGTGAGAAGTGATTGTACGTATATGCGGATAGAATTAAAATCCGAAATCTCGATAAACGAGAGACGAATCGAGTAGGCAGGATCGCGCCGATCGTGCGCGCGTGCAGGTTTCTAATGTATTTATTGAACATATTACGCGAGAGAGAAACGTTGTTATATTCCAAGCCTTACAAAGTACTATCGATCTGTACGTACCATGTATAAAATAGAACGATAGGTGCAGAGACACACCCCGAGCATTTTTTCTTTCGTTTCTAACTTAACGTCCTCCTGTACGAAGATGTAAGCTACGTCCCGAAATTCATCGCCTGTATCAAAAATCTATAGTTTCACGTCACGTACAGATATAGATTTTCAGTGATAGTGGCGGTGAATATCGGAACGCAGCTCTCACGACTCTCAACGATTGTATAAACTGTTACGACTGTGTAATAGTATAGATGCGATACATTCCTTCTTGAAACTTTCGTATACAGTTATTTATTATTGTTAGTTCGTAGGTTTTCTCTCTTTTTTTTTCCATGTATACACGCAGGAAATAAAACGTGAATGTCGAGAAAAGTTTCGCCGGCTCACAGTGTATTAATCTCGTCACCGCCCGCGGACAGTTATTTACAGTGTTCATCTGCTTCCTGCATTTATTTGCACGCAGCAACGAATACGAGAGAAAGGAAAAGAGACGGAGAAATTGTTAACATACACATATGTAACATTGTGCAGATGCGACTAAAAGAACGATTTTACATGTTTATTTTTACTAACTGAATACGTGGATTTTTTTAAATCTTGGAACAACCAAAAATCATTATAACCCTGTTTAACATAACATGGCGTCCACTACGAAGGAAGCATAATAGAAATCGGAGAGGGGAACACGATTATCTTCCACGGCAGCAGGTGAGTCTTGATTTCTCGACATTTAGGATGCGAAAAGAAGTGGTAAGGTCGATCGAGGATGTCGTCTTCGTATAAAATATATAAATAAAATATATAAGGTGAGGCAATAACTGTTACTGTAATGACTTCCGACGGAAGTTGCATCAATAAAATATATAAGGTGAAACAATAACTGTTACTGTAATGACTTCCGACGGAAGTTGCATCAATATCAATAATCATCACTTTGCGCATCCTCTGTAAATACATTCTTCATCTAGTCGTTAATAATTTATCTTTAATAATCGTTATTATTAATAATTATTATTTGTAAATAAAATATGTTTCTTCTTCGAAGATATTCAAGGTGATACCAGTTTGTCAAATGAACTAGTCACACACGCGTTTCTTTCAGGAATCTCCGATCCTCGGGGACAGCCGATGTCGGATTTTTGGAACACCACCTCCATCCGTAACAATGTTCGTGGAGCATTCGGTAGAAAATGTCTGCGAAATTTCGTGATGACTATCAAGGTGTCACACGACATATTCAGTTCGTTTCACTAGTGGCTGATTCCGTTGAAGAACGTGGCTCGTCAACAGCAGCAGCAGAATTTTTCTCCCAAACTGTGCAGCCTCTTTCTCGCCATGACCATGTTCACCGAAAACGCGGCGAGCCAGGCGAAGAAATTCAACCAGCTTGTGGATATGGCGAGCTGGAGCGCGAGGCCGGTGTTAATCTCGGCACCGCGCACCCAGTTGTTGGCGTCTGGATGCAGGTAATCCATGTAGTCGAAGATCGTGCCGCACGCTAGTCTGTCGTGGATCACCTGCGAAACGACGTGAATCACCTCCATTTAATCCACTGACTCGTGAATCTCCGCGGGTTTCGCGGTAAAAAGCTTCGCGGAAAGGCCAAAATGATATAATTAACAATTGGTAATTTAGTATAATTATATCTTAATAATTAATAAGTTAGTACATATTAAAGATATATTGAAATAGTGCAAATGTGTAGGGAAAAATAGTATAAGTATAAGAAGAATAGTATGAGAACAAGAAAATGTGGTAAAAGAAATTTCGGTGGACACGCATAGTTCGGGAGAAACAGGTATCGAAATTTAAAAAGTAGGACAACTTTCCCCGAAAAATCGGAATCTCGAAAACCAAACACCGGGATTTATCTCCCGAAATACTGGAATTGTTTATCGCAAAGTTACAACTTTGTAAGATAACTTGATTTTCTTCCAATATTTCAGAAAATTATTCTGATTTTCAGTTTACGGGATTGTGACTTTTCGGAATGTTGTCCCACTTCTCAAATTTCGAGACTTTGATTTTTCGGGATTCGGGATGTCCACCAAAATTTTGCCGAATCAGCCGAAAATTTCGGCTGAATTCTCGAGTCAAATTTAACTCTATTGCATTCAGTAAAAAAAAAAAAACAAGAATTGTTCATTGATCAAGTGATCCAAATAAACCTACGATCCTTCGTCAACATTCTGGCGGCATTTGTGTATCTTTATCGCGGAAGGTGTCCGGATTATCATCGAGATAGGCAGAAAATTCGAGAACCAAAGTTCTTGATTAACTCAATTGAATAAAAACTTTGATTGAAACGTGTGTCTTTGGTACCTGAACTTCGCGTCCTCTCGATTCCACCATTTGAATGAAATTTCGCCTGTATTGGTCGCAGGTTTTGTAGTAACCATCAGTTAGCACGATCGCATGGGAAAGGGACAGACAGCAGACTAACGCCGCGACGAAAGCGGCGGGTATCCATTGCTTGCATTGTGTCCTCGATTTCATGTGGATCACAACTTGTTCGTTAAGGTTGCGCCTGAATAAAAAGTTTAATTAGTGATAATTACGGAAAGTAACATATTGTATAGACTTTGTTAGAATTATTTGTGAAATCTGTGAATTTCGAAGGCATATCGAATTTTGCATATCAGGTCCAGTCGAATTCATATTAATTTTTTTAATACAAACTTGATTTCATTGAATTCAACGGGGAACAATTTATTCGTCAATCAAATAATCGCCGTCGCTGTTCACGTAACCTTAGAAGGTGGCCGGTTTACCGTCGAAGAAAACGTTAATAATCAAGCCAAACTTTTTGATTGAGCCAATATAGAAAGTATAACATAAAAAGTATGATATTTTACGTATATAATTGTATACGATTAATGCATAATAAACTTATATATATAATAACATATATTAGTTATATATATGCTAAAAAATTTTCAGAATTATTTTAATAACATTATTACAAATTTTATACTAGCTACATACATAATGTACATATATACATACATACATACATATATATATATATATATATATGATAAATGTACAGGCTGATTGACGTAAGCCGTCCCATCCGTAATATATTAGTAGATCAGGCCATTCTGAACAAAGAAGTCTTGTATCGTTTTGCAAATAACCGTGCAAATTTTTCATCTATTAATTAAAAAAGCCTCTATATCCTTTCATCCTTCTCATAATTAATAACTCAAAATTTTGCATAGTTGTTTGCAAATTAGGAGAGAACTTTTCTGTTCACATTGCTAAACTACAAATATGTGATGGAACGGTTTGTATCTTTATATAACAATTATATATTTTATCTATACATAATTCAGCGTATATGAAGGAATATTGAGAGAATTTTTTAGTACATACATAATTATAATACACGTTATTATACATATCCCTCGTCGCTCAAGTACCTGTCATCGTCGCGCGCAGCGCCGTTAAGTCGCTTAGGCTCGTCCAGATTCTTATGTATGAAACACCTGTATCCGTGATACGCGCTGAGGCACAAGCCGATTACGATGACAGGTATCAGGGCGTACGCGCTGAAGTGGCAGAGCTTCACGTCGCCGCCGATGAACATGGTGACCGTTTTCATGCCGTACAAGATGCAGCCGCAATTCACGTTGAAGCAACTGTCCAGGGTCCACGACCAATGCTGCCATGCGGTCACCATCGATATGATGGACACAACGGAGAGCACCATAGAGGCGCCGTACAGGATCGCCAGCCATCCTTCCGCTTGCTTCGGCGTCATGACGTCGCAATTTGTCAATTGCAATTTGTTAATTGCTAATTAATCAAGGCTCTCTCTCTTTCTCTATCCAGTTCGGATCGGTACGTGATTGATGTTCCCAGAACGCGGTTCGCTCCTCTCACCGAAGCGGAAGCTACACGGCGCGACTTCCGTCTCCCCCGTATTCGCGGAAGAATATTTCCCTTCTGTTCATATCTTCGCGATTGGGAAGAGAACTCACATACGATGACGACGACAACGTGCAAGATGAGTCCGTCTTCTGAAACATCGCGGAAGACTCGAATCTCGCCTACCTGTATTGCTTGTTTTTTTCTCGTTTATATACCTGACGCTTTTATAAATTTATCGGGGATCAAATTGACGGTCGTTCCTTCGCGTCACCTTCGCGGCCACCACATGCTAATACGTGGGCAGAAACGTCCGGAAAACGCGAGTCGGTCGCGCCTAGCGCTAATAGCGGCCCCAATCCAGACAATACGCGATATCATTTGTATGTATTATTCTTACCCCGGAAAAAAAGATCATATGTGAAATTTGCCCATACATGACTATATGTAATCATATATGTCGACAACGACAAACATATTGTTGTTTATAATTTATATACAAATACAATCGAAGCAAATGCTTCTGGCTACTTGTGCTTCTGACAGCACATGACATCGACATTTAATTAAGCGACATAACATGAATTTTTTTCGTATGGACATATGCGATCATATATGTAACTACATATGTGGGTAAAATTCATATATGATTTTATATAATTATATATAATCATTTTTCCCCGGATATATGATATTACGATAGCATTAAATAATATTATTTTTTTTAATATTATCAGAAGTGGACATATAACCATCTATTAATATTCCAGAAATATTACTTAATATTAGATAATATTACTAGAATATTATTAGAATATTACATCTAATATTTCAAGAATGTTATGCCCAGAATATTATTTATTATTAAATAATATTACGCGTTTATAGGGTATTTCGTTAATAACGTTAATAGGATGTACACAATCTACGTTTGCGATATTCCGCGTATCCCGTGTATATTCTCAGGATCCACGTGTGCTGTATGGGAATCGACTATCGACCGTCGTCCGCGGCAGTTGGGTCGGATCACATTTTAGCGGAGAAAAAAGAAGAGCGTTTATTGCATCTGTTGACGTCATCTTGACGAGAGAATTATGAATTACAGGCCCGAGGTGAAGACGCGCGATTGCCGCGGCCGTGAACGGCTGGCGTGCGAAGATCCGCGTGGGACTGTTCAAACACGACGGCGGAGGATCCGGAACATGTAAACATTTTCCGACCTAGTATTTCTCTACGTTCGATGGAAGCGCTATGGACAGATCTATTTTCGGGCTAAGTCGCATGCGGTCTTGCGGTTGTGTTCCTCGAACTCTTCGAGCATCGAGCGAAGTATCGCTGCGTGCGCGCGTTGTCTTCATCTTTTCCCGCAGACCAGTTCGAAGATGACTCGAAGCACCTGTGATCCTTCGGCGACATCGAGTTTAACGAGGCCACGTTTCCGACGGCGAGGCAATCGTGAATCCTCTCCCGCAACGTGAACTCGTGGAAAATGAATATTACTAAATGCGCTTCCAAGTTAACAAACGTTCGAGCAGGTAACAAAGGCGAGCGAGAGTCTAATCGCAGATATTTTCAGCGAATAATTCGATTGGTAATAAAGAGGGATTCGTTGAGTCAAAATCAATGGTTCGAAAGTGAAAATGTTCGTTGCCCTTATTATAACAATCTTAGATGAAAGGATGTATGATGAGAAAAGGAGAAGCACAGAAAAGAACTTAATCTAGCAAGCAGACATGATCACGAATCTTAGTGCAGAACGAAGTATGCGCAAGGCCAAGTATGCGGTCTTGTAAACTAAGCCAATGAATAATCGGTATATACGATTGTTTCATCTCATATGCTAAGTATATCCCGAAATACAACGCGACAGTGTCGAAAAGACGTTATAAAATATTACGATATTATTATTATAAGATATGGTATAATATACAGTAATATCAGGTAAATATAGCGCGAGCTGTGTGGTTCCAGCGAATGAAAGAGAAATGAGAAACGAATAGGAGGAGAACGAAGAGCAACGCTCACATTGGTTCGAACATTTTGCATATGCACCCTAGGATCGAAGATGACTGAACGATTGAGCGAGTGACAAGGGCAGGCCGCACTTACGCTGATTAGCCCCGGTCGGAGATAGTAAAGTTCTCCCTCTCCGTCCGGCCGTTAGGGCTGAAAAGAGACGGAGAGGTGCTAATTAGGATTGGTTAGCTATTTGCTCTCACGCGGGAAACGCGTTGATTATAGGATTTCGACTACTACGCAGGATACTGAGACGCAGGTAGCGCACAGGTGATGCACACTACATGCGATCTCGAATGCGATGAATGCATAATAATTATCGGTCGGTCTCTTTCTCTCTCTCTCTTTCTCTCTCTCTCTCTTGTGTAAAAATAACACTTCCGATTACTTTTGTGCGCGCCTCGCGGAATGCAACAACGGTCGTGGTGTTCGACGGTTACGGATCGAGACGGTATGAATAACCGGTTATCGCGTGATAAGGTGTCCGAAATCGCGCAATGACAGATGCAGGGCGGCATGTATCATCTAGAACATTCGATAAGATTAGGCGGTGTCACGTAGGATTCAACCCTCGATTTGTGACCATCTCGGAAACGAGAGGGAAAGAGAGAGAGAGAGAGAGAGAAAGAAAGTGAGAGTGAGAGGAAGCGAAATGATTGTTGGTGCGAAATAAATTTATGCGAGAAGGTAAGCGTGTTTGACACGTGCAAACGCACGTATCGATTACACGGAGCAAATATTGTAGTGAAAATTATTACAAAATTTTGTAGCACCGAGCTATACAGGAATTATGACTGAAATTATTATTGTGTTGTAATCTTTATTGGTGTATTTCATGTATGCATAACTAAAGATTACAATATATATATAATAATTTAAGTCGTAATTCTGGTATGGCTCAGCATTACGAAATTTTATGGTAGTTTTTACCGTAATTTTTTCCGCCCCTGTCCGATTTTCAAGCGGGAAATCAACCTTCCACGTCAAACCAACCTTGTGTTTAATTTGTTAATATTAATAAATCCCCCTCCCAAATCTCAAAGTTATTAATTAATTAGTATTAACTGATTCCCTCGAATTCTGAGTTTCTAGTTATTGTACATCTCAAGAACATAATATATTTAATTTGGAAGTGAGAGTACAATTGTGGAGCTACAGTACGATTTTCAACGAGTATTTCTCATTTAACGACACAAACCGATACAAGCATCATTTTATCCTTATTCCATATTCAATGAGTGTCAAGGACAAGACAACGCTTATGTCGATTTGCGTCGTTAAATGGAAAGCGCCCAACTTATCTTTCATTCTCGGAATTCCCATTTGAAATCGGGGTCTTCTCGCACCCGTCTTCTTCCGTCGGCGAGTGAATAAATCAGAATGGAGTAACACGCGCCTGATAAGGAATAGTCATGAGCAGATAACGGTCGATGGTTCACGATGATGATGTACGCGCAGAGAAAACGTCGCCCGTCGTGATTTTTAGTAACCGGCAGACTTTTAGCAAAATGGCTGAGGGCTTCAGCAGAATGATCGACTTGTAATTTTAAGACATTTTATACCTTCAATTTATCTAATTATCTAAGTTATCATTTGTTCACTTTTTTTTAATTACACAACGGCTTGTCAAATTCTGAGAGTAACTAAGGCCATTTTAATAAAAAAACCTATAATATTTACTTTTATCTTCCCAAGTTTATCTTCGGATAATTTAACATATAGCGAGTTCTTTTCATAATAGGATTTCGAAGTTCATAAGAAGGAAAGACCGAGGACCATGAACGATAAAAGTACGTTTTCGGAGCAATCGGCAGCAGACGAGACGGCAAAAATCTACATAGAACACCTATATTTTACGAATTTAACGGCAGCTCAGGAAAAAAGTGACTATAGCAATCCACTTTGGACGATAGTGAATTTTTTCCAGTGACTTGTTAAGAAAAAGTGGCAAAAGAGGATTTAAGTGACTGAATGGCAGCGCCATTCTGAGACTGAGACAGTCACGCATTGTGCTTAAAGACAAAGGCTTGAGGCGTGAAACATCGTCTTAGGCTAATAAATTAGCCACTTCTACTAACGGCCTGACTTGTACTTTTCAGACGATGTTTTAATGCCCCAAATCTTCGTCTAAGTTATCACTTTTTTACTTTTTCCTTTTTTATTATACAGCAACTTTGTCACCGATCACAAACAGAATGGCTTTTTAGTTTAAGACACAAGACAGTCATTGCTTGAAAGCAAAGATTTGAGAGGCATAAAAAATAGTCTTGAATCAATAAGTCAGCCATTCTGCTAAGATCCTCATTCCATCGAATGCTTCTCTCGCGCCGTCCCGTGGAAGCGCGCCCTGCCGGGGTAGCCGAAGCGACTGTTACCTCCGCGACTTCCGTCTTTCGGCTGTCTTCTTCTACGCCGCGTGTGTGCGCAAGAATTACACGTGTCATGTTTGAATAAGCCGCACATTTTCGTAAATAATCTCTCTCTCTCTCTCCCTCCCTCTCACACGTCGCTCTTCTACGCGCTCTCGACAATGCCCGTCGTACATCTCGCGCGCGGATGTCAAATATTGACACGAAGCCCGATCTCTCGACGGCCGCGATGAGAACGCAATGGGAACGCTCGTTGCGGCTGATAAGTCCGGACGACGAGTGACGAGAGGCCGCCCTTCGACTTTCGCGCACTCGAGACCGGGATTCGCGCGTTCTTACGTAAGCGAAGGTGCAACTTGAATTTCCTCGGATTTACTAATTGTCTCTACGAACTCAGCAAACAAAGAGTTCGCTGGAAATCGAAGTATTCCCCCTCCCCTCCCCCTTCATTCTCGCCGACGTGAAGAAAATATCTGTAGTTTTAAGGTTTCGGAAAGAAAGTCATTTTTTTTTTTTGCCAATTTTCCCGCGGATCTCTTCGGTTTCTGTTCCAAGGGGGGAGGTTCCAAAAGTTCGTTTAAGATACTTCACGTGCGTTTGGTTAAAATCTACTATATTTACTTTTTTCTTTCCCCCGTAAAGAAGGTGAGAAACCAAAATAAACCGGCGGAAAAATGGAAAAGAATATATCCTTCCGAAAATTGACACTATGAAAACATCCCTAAATATCTTATCGATACGATTAATATGAAGAAAATTCAAATGTATACATAAAATTCGTTTCTTCTCCGCGCGTTTACCGCGACTAAGGCTGCGTTCCGATATTCACTGCCGGTGAGTCAAAAATCTACAGATCATGTCGCGTATACCGTCGATTCTTAGTACCACTCAGTACTACTAAGAATCGACGGTATGCGCGACATGATCTTAGTACGGTTATTTACGGAATTATCGAGACGCAGCCAAAGTGACGGGATTTCAATCACACTTCTACTGCTCAGTACTACTAAGAATCGACGGTATGCGCGGACATGATCTTAGTACGGTTATTTACGGAATTATCGAAACGCAGCCAAAGTGACGGGGATTTCAAGTAAATCACACTTCACACGCGTCCCGCTGTCACCTGACACAGTCGGACGGCGCACGACGTTCTCATTCTCACTTGGTTGGTCGCACAGTGACAAATGGATCTGTCCGCCGTGTCACTCGTCTGAGATAAGGACGTCGAATGTACGTCGCTCCGGATAAACTTTTATCTGCGATCAATTCGACGTTAACGGCGCGATACTTGCGATCGTGCGTCGCGCTCGAACATCGAGCGCGACGAAGCGCCCGCGTCGAAACGTTCTCGCTCGGCGCCTCGTGTGTTTTAAGTTTACAATCGCGCTAATCACGCTAGTCACACCTTATTTTTCGCGCGCTGCGCGTCCGACGGCGTATCGCACACCTACTGCCCACCTCTCGGCTGTCTCTCTCTCCCGCGAGCGGTATTACGAAATGTTTGCTCGAATCGCGCGTCGCCGCCGCGAGTTGCGACGGGATGTTTCAGGTGGTGGAATCCCCGGCACGTTTCAGCACGCTACGTTACTGTGACGCGTGTGCACACACGCACGACCGGACGCACTCTGATCGGGGGCCCATTGCCCATCGTAGTACGAGGAAACGCGATACGCGATGGCGAGGAGATAAAGCCCGATAAGATTATCGAAGTCTTCGGGGACGATCACCGTCAAACGCGAAGCTGAGAGAATCTTTTCTTCGCAGAAGCGCCTCGAGGTGGCCACGACTTATCCATAGATCTAGTTTTTTTTTCTCTTCCCAAACTGGGTGGCAATTTTTACTGCCAGAACGAGACAAGTACGTGACAGCGTCGAAGGGAAAAGGAACGAAGTTCCAACACAGACCTGAGGACCCTTCAGGAATATAAAGACTATATATCACATATTTGGTATCTATAAATGAAGCGTTTGGGTATTTAATGAATACGTGATTTGAGAGACAAGAGAGATGGTTTGACCAAGTAAATTATTAACGGTAACGTTCGCAGCAGTCGGTCTCGGGAACGGAAGTAATCGGTAGACTCGCTCAATGTACGATGCAGTTGGATTTATTACTTCCTTTGTCTTTTCTTCTTTTCTTTTGTCTTTTACTACTTTCTGATGCGCAAGATCTGACAAATTGCGCGTTTATGTTTACTATACTAACGTAAAAAAAGGAAAAAAAAAACCACACAAGACGTCAGCGAATCTGCGATTCTTCGTTTCAGTTTGGTTCACCTGTCAACCGTAAATTCGATACGAATGAATGACGCGTGTCGAGGTAACTCAGTTCGCCTTGTAAGAATCCCATCACAAGCCTCCATTTATTACACGTTATTAGATACTACCTTTGGTACAAAATTCTGAGGTTTTATACACGGAAGAAATCGGCTCTCTCTCTTTCTCTCTCACCGACCGGAATAAATGAAGCGCTTGGTGAATGAAAATTCTTCACGCGTGTCATCTCGCATTTGACGCGCGACACACGCCTCGGATCAAATTCTGATTTTGCGCAAATCATTATACTTCACCTTGTAATTTTCTGTCTGAATTACATCAACACGTATCGCGTATTTTCTATACATGCGCTTGTCATGTGATTTCTTCGGTCCTTAAAATAGCGGTTTCTCACCGAACAATTTGTTCCTTGTTATATTCTCCTTAGCCGGCCTACAAAGAGATTCGTAGAGCCTGCTCTCTTTAGCATCCCTCGACTTTGTAATCTCTATGATTGACTGCCGCTAGGCGTCAGCGATTGCGAGATGTGCCGTAGAAATATATAGGAGTATAATTTAACTAAATATTCTATTAGTTATGTACACATTCTTTTACGATCGATAAGTATTCCACTCCCTCACACGTTGCGACGAGAAGCCACCGTTGTTCCATACGCTGTAGATCGTTGCGACACCCGCCGCGATAGCGGCCGCGAAACCAGCTTTCCTGACTCCAGCTGAAATTTATTATTTATATATATATATATATATATGTACGGAAAGGAAAGAGCTCTCACAGCTAAAAACTAGTTCCCACGGGTAGAAATGAGCTGTTCATATAATACAACTGAAATTTAGTTCACTTAGCTAATTCTTTGATAAAAGTTTACACAAGGTCAAACACAACGAAAGATGGTTCAAACTTTTAGCACGTTGCTCAGGACTAAGTTCTTGACAAAATATCCTCAATATCGTTGACTTTTGAGAGGATTGATCTTAAGTAAGTACTTTACCTTACATGGACATCTGATTCTTTTTTCCATGTACATACATATAAATTATCTCACCAGCAGATCTGAATAATGCAGCGCTCGCGGCTGCCGCGCCCACTGTATTGAAACTATCGTCGGTCCCTCTGATCCAAGTTATACCCATGCCAGCACAAGTGTACATTATCGTTATCACACCGAGAGAATTGGCCATATTGGCGCCACCTTTCATAACATGATTGATCAATCTAAAAAGATAAAGAAGTAATACATTGACATACTGATCTACTTTGGATATTGATACTTCAAAGAAAAAGCGTACTGTGTTCTTCTGAGTTTGCCGGTTTCACCGGCAATAGACGTCGCTTTAATGCCTCTGTATAAACCCGTCGCTCCACCAATTCCTGCACCTATTATGCATGCAGCTCCAATCTGACCAAAGGCTAATTCAAAACGACCCCTCTGCTTCACAGCACCGTCAGGAAATATAAATTCTGGCTGATTAATGGGAAGATACGATGGGTCGACATTCATATATGGGCTAAGAGATAAACCTTGTTGCAATGTAACTGAAAGATAAGAACAGCATTCGTTGATACAGATAATGCAGTTCGAAAATTCATCTATATCACATTCATAATTCAACTACACTAGACACTATAAATCATTGTTGCACATTAAAGTACTATGTTGATTAAAATATTGTAGTAATATATTAATGTATATTCCAGAATTATATTATTGTTTCATACATATATATTGTCATGAGTGTGATCGAATATATATATAATTTGTATAGATAGCGCGTACTTATTTTTATATGCGACTTGTTACACAGAGCTGATGCAATAAATTAGGTTAGGAACACGTTTTTCACGAGTTGAGAGAAGCAAACGTTCATCCGTGCAATATAATTTTGGAAAAGGCATAAATCGTGCATGTGCGTCTGACGTTTTGTTCGATAACACTCGGAAAAATGTCCTGTTGATTACGAAAAAGAAGAAGAAGAAATTAGGAAAGTGCGACGATCGAGAAAAAGTTGGAGACGACGCCAAAAATCTCGACGCAAGTACACGAAATCTCTCCGTTTACCTGGTATGTTAGTGTTATTGTACGATCCATTATCGGCTTCGTTTTTCCCCGAATTATTGAGAAAGTTTAACATTTTGTCAAAACAATTTCAGCTTTGTACTTTTGGAACACGAGATTCGGATTACCACGAGACACGAAGAAACATCAGACTGAACATGCCTAGAAAGCCGGGTCGAATAATAAGAGGGAAATTTCCCCTCCCCCCACTCGATCATCGACGCTTTACATCCCGCCAAGTCGTGTACGTTTGTTCGTTTTGTTCCTTTTTTTACACTGATTGCGCAAGAATACAGAGGCGGATGAAAATAACGCAGCAATGTGGTGTGTTACAAACATAGAACGATTTATTAACTACATATTTTATTATAAATATAATATATACACACACACACGTCGAGATAATGGTACAACTCAACGATAGGTCAGGCGTGGCCGTTTTCAAGTAGCACAAGTCAGAGAATCGATTGACTTTTTTCATTTTCAAGCACTATATATAATTGCAAGTCGAGTGATTTTTTTCATCCCCAATACGACTCAAGGAGAAGACGAGGGAACTTTTATTTCGAATTATTCTATTCAGGATTCGGAGGAAGAGGAGAAAAAGAAAGAGGAACAAAGGATATCAAGTGCTGAAAGTGCAACTGAAGGGCACACGTAGTGGCACTAGATTTGGCGCGTTTTATCATTAAATACCTTCTCAGCTACGGACGAACGGACAGATTAGATTCCTTCGATTCACCGGTTACGTGGTTGTTGGTACATAGGTGAGTACATGGTTTCGATTTTCTTCGTTCTCGCATATGCATCACTGCTTCGTTATCTTAATCAGGTACTTAAGAGAACGAGATTCTAGTCGTAAAAATTATGCGCAGTTTTGTCGGAGGCTGCTAACGGATAGTACGTTAAAACGATTATCTCGTTGACTTTGACGTTTGAAACACATTTGTACTCACGGACGTGTTGTAGCCGTTGCATTTAATAATCGCGCATCGTTCGTCAGATAAACCAAGATGTCCAGGATATGCCGACTGTCGCTCCGCGGTATTCGCAATTTCGGCGACGATAATGAGGACGCCCCCAATTTGATACGCTTCAGCTGCCCGATGACGCTGATCCTGGGGCCGAACGGCACCGGGAAAACCACGATCATCGAGGCGCTGAAGTACGCTACCACCGGCGAATTTCCACCTAGCTCTGAGAAAGGGAAATCCTTCATACATGATCCGAATTTGGCGTCAACTGGCTTGGTATGACAATAGTTTATTCACGTTTATTTATTATAATTTTACTTTACTTTAGATATCTACGTCGTGGTCTATTGTATGTATCAAGGTTCTTTTCTTGAAATAGTTGCATGTATGCAAATGTAATTGTGTAGCTATTTCATGATATGACTTGTATAAAAATACTTCTGTATGTACACAAACATTAAAAAAATAGAGGTCCTGTTGTATTGTGCTTATTATATATTTATTCCATTGGGATAATCAGACAAAACTATGTCTCAGTTTTATATCATGATTAAAATATACCCGAAAGCAGAGAAAATGTTCTTAAGAGATTTGGAGAAGTAAAATTACTTTTAATCGTTACTCTTGTTTTATATTGCACATATTGTTTTAGATAAGAGGCGTCGTCAAGGCTGAGATTGTTGATTCTGTTGGTAATGCTGTTACAGTATGCCGAACAATTGAGTCCATAAAAACAACAAACAGATTCAAGACTCTTGATAGTACTTTGACAAGAATGAGCAAGGATAAGAAAGAAGTATATAAATCTTGTTGTATGTAATCTTGTGAAGTATATAAATACTTTTTAAGTTTACTTATTTTGATTTTCTAATTTTCTAATATAGAAGATATCTATAACCAATCGATGTGCAGATATTGATGCTGAACTCAGCATAGCATTGGGCGTTTCCAAGTCCATTCTGAATTACGTGATATTTTGCCATCAAGATGAGCTGAATTGGCCATTTGATCAGGGGAAGACACTAAAAGACAGATTTGATGAGATATTTGACAGTACAAAGTTTAACGAGGCCTTGGAAAATATTGGAAAGCTCAATAAGGAGTTACAAGCGAACTTACGATTCTTGAAGGAGCAAAAAAATTCTTTCGCTGTACTCGTGTCCGAGGTAGAGTCCAGAGAGGACACACTTGAAGAGCACAAACAGAGATTTGAGAGCACAAAGGAAAAAATAGGCATTATCGATAAGGAGTTGGAATCGTTGAAAGGGAAAATCAAGGAGATGGAGCAGTTTCATTCAGAATACAAGAGCGTACAAGCTGACGAAGGTGAGTTGGAGAAGAATTCGCTTTACCAGTGCAGGTATTAAAATACAAAAGCGTTTATTTTTTTGTAGAGAAGAAGAAGATGGAGTACGATATGCACAAGGAACGATATGTGAAACTGAAAGGCACTATAGAGAACATCTTTGAAGGAACGATGGAGGAGTTGAATGTGCACATACAGTCCTATGATTCCATATTGATGGAAAAGAATAACGAGATAACCGAGGTATATTTAAATATGCTAATCAAGTTTCCAACATCTTTAATTAACTGTTTACTCGCGATTGTGTACGCACGTTGGTTTGTTTTCAGAATGAAGCTGAGATCAAAGGTATCTGCGAGAAGGAATCCAGGATCTCGAATATTTTGGCAACGCGCAGGGAAACCGTGGGCACGTTGAAACAACAAGTGAAGGATCACGAGAGAAGGATAATCCGTCGTAATCGGCTATTAGACGATGCATTGCAGGCCTGCGGTCTCGACACGGTGGGACCGGACGTGTCTGAGATAGGTACTTAAAACAATAACTAAGATAAAAATAACAAAAATAATCACGTCGCGTGTAGAGTTTTACGATATTGAAGGGATATATCATTTTTTTTGTATTTGCTAAATCGTGCAAAAATTTTGTGTGCAGAGGTGAAGGCTTTCACGAAGAGATTGGAACAGAAGATGCGGACATTGGAGCGAGAAGCGGAGGAAAGTCGATTGGCCATGCAGAAACATGAGAGCGAGTTACAGAAGGAGCTTGACAGGCTGCGCAGCAATCACTCGAAAATAGAATCCGAAAAGATCCTCAAGGAGAAGGAAGTGACCGAGATAAGAGTCGATACAACCGCGATTCGGAATCAAATAACACAGGTTGATGCATTTTCATCCTATCAGGAATGCTTAGTTTTCTAATGCAAAGGCGCAATTCTACTTCTACTTCTGTTTCCATTTTTTTCACGTAGATCGGTATCGCGGGAAATAAGTTAAAGTCCCTTGAACAAACACTACAAGCGGCGAAGCAAAGGGTAGACAAAATCGGCAAGGAGTTAGATGTGGACTCGGTTAAAGTCGACATCGAGAGCAAGGTCAAATCCAGAGACAAGATCGAAGCAAGCTTGAGCGCGATCGACGATGAGATCTCCTCCCTGCACAAGCTGAGCTCGTTAACGGCGGAATTCGAGTTGAAGAAATCGACGTTGCGAGCTAAGGAAGAAGAGTTGGAGAATCTGAAGAAGAAACACGGCGAGGATATTAAAACATTGCTGAACATCCAGGAACTGCAACATACGAAATTGAGAAGTTCCTTACAACGTGTTCATCAGCAGTTGGTACGGTAATTCACGCTTATGGATTTATTTTTTACGCGTATTTGTACTGATTGTGAAAACTTTAGGAAAAAGAAGCGAGTAACTTGACACGTGAGATACAAACGCAGGAACGTCGAACCACCGCTCTTGAAACGACAGTGCGGCACGTGGAATCCGATATCACGAAGAAACGGACAGAATTGGAACGTAAGAGTTCTCTTACGATTTTTTTGTACGATTCTTGATGTAATATCGATCATGCGGCTACCTTGAGTGTTTCATTTCTCAGGCGGCAAGCAGAAAGTATCCGTGGTGTGCGATATCAGGGATTTCGACGAGACCTTGTTGATGCAATCGAAGATAGTCAAGGATCTTCAGGACCGAAGGGGGGTTTATGCTTATCAAGCCACAGCTTACAAGGAATACGTAAATAAGCTTAAGAAAGATCCTTGTTGCCCGTTGTGTCACAGAGATTTTCAGCAGAAAGAGAAAGTCGCAGATCTAATAAAGGAGCTGGAAAGCGACATAATACGCAATCAGCCAGGCCGTTTGAAGAAATGCGAGGAGGAGTTGAAGACTGAACAGAAGAAGTACGACGATATGCTGCAGTTGAAGCCTGTCGTCGAGAAGATCATTCAGTGCGAGGAAAATGATATGAAGAGATTGAAGTGAGTGAATTCAATGTGTGTGCATTACGTATGTGTGTACACACATGTCAGCTGAAATTTCACGTTTTACGCTACTTTCGAGCTCATCCTGCCTGATGATCCTTCATAGTTGCGACTTTTCTTTCAATTAGCGATAACTTGGAGAAAACGAAGAATAATCTGACGCAATCGAGGACGTGCGTGAAGAATTTGGAGACGTTGAAGACGGAACCTGAGAAGAAATTGCTGCTGTGGAAAAATGTAATCGGCGATATTCAGCTCTGGGATCAGTGCGTGGACGAGATACAGCAGTTGAAGAAGACCGTTGATAATCTGCAAACTCAAATGGCCAATGCAGGTGACGATTTCGACAAATCATAACGCGATTCCCGATTATGGAGTATTGTCTCTCCCATTTTGACGCGCGATCGTAAACGTTTTCCGTAGGTATTCAAACCGAGAGGACCATGGAAGAGGCGCAGGCGCAGCGGGAACAACTGAAGAAGTCCTTCAAGGAGACGCGCAATTACATCGAGGATCTGCAGCTCAGATTGAACGAGCACAACGAGAAACTGCACGACGCTAGAGTAAAGTACAACGAGTTGCACGAGGAGCAGTTGCAGATACATTCGGGTATGCAGAAACTAAAGCACTTAAAGGAGAAGCAGGAGGAACTGTACAAGCGGGAAGTCAGCGTGGACGAAACGGTGGAGAAATTGCGGAAGGATCTGACGGAGGCAGAGGATCGATTGAATTCCAGCTCACGGCTGTTGGAGAAAGCCAAGGTTTGCTTTTTCGCTTTTCCGATCGGACTATTATCAACATTTTTTTAAATATGAAATTTTATATAATATTCTTATATAGATCGTATAATTATATGTAATTATTTTATAGAATAATTATATGAAATTATGTTTAATTACATAATATGTAAAATATATAAATATGATAATTTGATTTATCTCATTATTTATATAATCTTATTTATAATTATATTTATACTTATAGTTATTTATAATTTTACTTATATTAATTTTATTATTTATTACTAATTAATAAGAGGAAGAGAGAGAGAGAGAGAGAGAGAGAATCTAAATGAAAGAATATATAAAAAAGAATAGGTTGCTAAACGCTCCTTCATTGCAGGCGGAAAATTGGCAGAAGCAAGAGACCAATAGAAAATTAATAGCGGAAAGTGCCAGACGTCTGTCCGACTTGTATAAGATAATAGACGAGGTTGAGTCGTTCATCAACAGCGACGTGTCTGAAAAACTCGCGAGCTACGAACGCGACATAGAGACCTACCATAGGTCGCTGACGGAACTAACGGGCCGACGGAAGAACGTGGAGCAAGCGATAGGCAAATTGAAGGAGGACGTTGTCACTCAAGAGATCAAGAAGAGAGAGATGCTCGACAACGTGACGTTGCGCGAGACCAAGAAAACAATGGACACGTTGAAGCAGCAATACCAGCAGCTGATGATACAACTGAAGAGCATGAATTATGACGAAATGACGAAGAAATGGAAGCAGTTGGAAGACGAGAGACAGGCCACGCTTCGTCAGGTAAGCTACACGCGTTTTTCTTGTATCGCTTGTACATCAACTAGTGGTTTGTACGGTCACGTTTTTCTCTCTCTCTCTCCTTTTTTTTTTTTTTTTTTTTTTTTTTTTTTTTTTTTTTTTTTNAAGCAGGAAGAGCTGGAAAGAATGATGAAGCAGTACACACAGGAGTTGCGGAAGGAGGATTATCGACTCGCACGTCGTAATTACGCAAACAAATGCATCGAATTAACGGTGAAGTATCATACGCGAAGTAACATATATTTTGGACTTGATAACTTTCTACATCGTACTGAGACTCGTCTTGCTTTTAGGTTCAGGAAGACACGATAGCCAATCTGAAGGCGTATAGTCAGGTTTTGGACACTGCGATGATCGAGTATCACGAGGAGCGCATGGCAACGGTTAACAAGATAATGAAGAAGCTATGGAAGCACGTTTACAAAGGCACGGATACAAGCAGCATACAGATCCGCACGGAACCAACGGATGGTGTAGGCAGCAACAGGAGAAGCTACCACTATAAACTAATTCAGACAAAACACGGCTGCGAGATGAATATGAAGGGACGCTGTAGCGCAGGGCAGAAAGTAAAATTTTATTAAATCTTATTTTATCCTATTCAAAAACTGAAAATAATTTCCTCGAAATAATTTGTTAATCTTATTAATCTTCGTCTTATTCAGATATTTAATGTCTTTCTAACGTCATTATTTTTTTTTTTATATATTCCTTCATTTAGATTCTCTCCTATAGATTGATAAAAAATAGTAAAATTAACATAAGTGAAATTAGATTCAATTATAAATACAAATATAAATTATTGATACAAAAATATAAGTAAATTTGTATAAATAATGAGGTGAATTAGTAATTATTAATAATTATTTAACATCGAATTGCTCGGTGAATGTGAAAAACGAGTGGTAAAAAAATAATGCGTTTACCCGAAGGCTCGCATTTTTTTTTCTCAGGTATTAGCTTCCATCATTATAAGACTCGCTTTGGCGGAAACGTTCTGCAAGGATTGCGGTATACTCGCTTTGGATGAACCAACGACGAATCTGGACGAAGAGAATGCGAACAGCTTAGCAGATACGCTCACCAAGTACGCGTTCGTCTGCGTTTGAGACGCGGAATTGCGATAATGAATGTAACTTAACGCACGTTACTTTGCAGAGTGGTGGAGATGCGATCGAGGCATCAGAAGAACTTCCAGCTGATCATCATCAGTCACGACGAAAAGTTCCTGCAAAAACTCGCCGACCTGAATAATCACAAGAAATTCCACGAACTTTATCGCAAACAGAAGTACGTTGTATCGGGGTGTTACTTTCTTCTCGATTGTTAAATTGTCAGAAATTGGTAAGCTCTTTCTATTTTCTTCACAGTGGAATGACAGCCGTGAAGATTTCGGACTTCAACGAACCCACGAATTCCATGGTGCACATCAAGGATGAGGAATCCGACGAAGAGGATCGGAATCAACCTTCCTCCAGAGATGCGGGTAGCGGGTCCACGGCCAGTACATCGAATAAAAAACGATACAATTGGGACGATTTTAATGAAGATGAGAGGCCAGCCAAGAAGAGATATTTCTCCAACGAGTGATGAAAGTGATGCGTCTCGTGTGTGCTGTTCTTTTTCTTTTTTCATATTTGAATGCTATACATACACGTTCCATTAGTCCCGGTCTACAATAAATACATTAAACTCTAAGCCTTAAGAAATTGACCAATCACCAGTCGAATATGAGGGGAATAATCGACTGTGATTGGTAAATTTCTTAAGGCTTAGAGTTTAAATTCTCATTGACATCTCGGTAGACACCCCGCTTTACATAGTCTATATATGCATTATACTTCATATTTGTAGTATTTTTGTGTCGATTACCAGAGTACATACGCGTAATATGTTAGCTTTATTCTTACAGAGAGAAATTATCATAGAAGTTATAAGATACTTCTAAACACAAAATACCTCAGAGCTGTAATAAATAAATGGAAAGTATTTTATAAATAATCTCGAGCGTGATATTGATATTGTAACCTTTGATTCCTAAAGCGTGTCGTACGATTGAATGGACGTATTCGTAGCTGTGAACATTCGTGATTGTGTATCAATCTTCACGGTTCAAGATTCACACATAGTTTGTGCCAAATCAAAGGGTAACTTCGTTATTTTTGTAAATCTTTTGTACTACAAGGTGTATGTGACTAAATCGACAGAGGGACCCGTGCTCTCCTCGATAGTATAGTGGTTAGTATCCCCGCCTGTCACGCGGGAGACCGGGGTTCGATTCCCCGTCGAGGAGTAACTTTACCTTTTTTTTTCTTTTTAATTGATATAAAAAAAATATATATATACAGGGTGTCCCAGACCACCCGTCTCACCCGATTTTTTCGTAAACGCGACATTTTAAAGAAAAATGTTTCAGACAAAAGTTTTGTGACTTCGAGGGGCACATGAGATGGTGTCATTGGTTTGACCTTGGATAGTCGTTTGAAGATCACGTGAACGTCACCTTTAATTTTTTAAATGGAAACCCCCATTTTTCAATGCATATTCTTGTAGCTTACCTCGAGAGCTTTCCAAAACGCTATAATGAGACGTTTTTTTAATCAGTACTTTTCGAGTTATGAGGGTTGAAAGTTACGGTACCGCCGGCATTAGCATTACCCAAGGTGGAGGTTGCACGGTCGGATTTACACCTCTTTGTGTGTTTGTGTGTTTGTGTGTGTGAATGTGTGTGAATGTGTCACAGAGATAAGGACCCCACGGTTCGTCACTCCCGTAGTATTTATCGACTCCAAACCCTCTCTGCTGTACGCGCGCGCGTGTGTGTGTGTATGTGGCTGATGTTATTAGGCCTGGTGTTCGAAATGTCCACCGTTTGCTTCAATGCAAGCAAGTACTCTTTTCTCGAAATTATTTGTTGCATGAAGAATTTCATCAACATGTAGAGAACGAATAGCGAGACGTATTCTACGAATCATATCATCTCTTGTCGTAGGGCGTTTGCGGTATACCAGATCTTTTAGTCTTCCCCACAAATAGTAATCGAGAACAGAGAGGTCCGGTGATCGTGGTGGCCAATGATGTGGGCCATATTTGCCTATCCATTTATCTGGAAACATTTCGTTCAACCGTTCAATCATAAACGATTGGAGATTACATGTACTTCTCAATCAGTTACGACAATAATGTTTAGATATTTCGATTCCTTATTAAATTTCGAATAAATGAGTGAAGAAAAATGTTGGTGACTCGCAATAAGGTAAATAATAACAACGATCATTTGTTTACCATCGACGCGCAGCGCCGCAGCTTGTTATATGATTGAGAAGCTACAAGAATATGCATTGAAAAATAGGGGTTTCCATTTAAGAAATTAATGGTGACCTTCACGTGATCTTCAAACCACTATCCAAGGTCAAACCAATGACACCATCTCATGTGCCCCTCGATGTCACAAAACTTTTGTCTGAAACATTTTTCTTTAAAATGTCGCGTTTACGAAAAAATCGGGTGAGACGGGTGGTCTGGGACACCCTATATATATAAAGACAATAAGAGGAAAATTATAAACCTGCTTAATTTTGCAAATGCAAATTTGCCAAAGCATATATATATTTTTTATTTTATTCAAAGAATCTTCGATCATCCAATTAAGATGTTCTATTTAATTTAATTTTCTTCTAACATTCCATTGAGACGTAAATACCGAAGCGCAAAGAGCCGCTTGAAGAAACAACAATTCGGAGCGAATTACTCATCGCACGGCATAGAACATATCGACGCCTTCGTTAGTGTGATTAGCATTTCCACCCAATTTGCTGGAGATGACGCCACATAATCGAATGAGATTCACCGCGGCGTCGATGAAGATGGCGCGTCGGTTCCGGAGCGCCTCGATAACGTCGATATATCTCGATCGCCGTTGCGAGATGTCGTCACTTCGAATGGAGGTGAGAATTCATTTTGAGGCCGGATCAGACCGAATCTGAAGCAGAACGGAGGACCCGGGAAGTCGCATGCTTCTCTCGGCACCCGGTTACGTAAGTTTTACTTCAACGTGCGTATCTTCGTCTCGCGAGATCGCCCCTTTATACAAGACATCGTCGGGCGTCGGAATCATCAGATACTCGTATGCGACGCAACCTCGCAAAGACCCGAATAGAACAGGAAGTGACGATTACATTTTCTCGTCAAAATGACAGTAAAAACTCACTTCCCGATCGTTCTTGCTCTTCCCCCTGGGCAGACGCTTACGATTTCACGCGAAGCTCGACGACGCCAGGTGGAACAAAGAGTGACGATAATAACAATGGCGCCGAAATTACGAGGAAATGATCGAAAAATGAGTTCTTACGATCATTCTCTCGTCACTTCGATCGTAACTTTCCGTCCCACCTGGGTGTAACCGCGTTACCCCAAGGACCATTTAACTCGCCTTCTCGAGACAATTCCGCGTGCAATCACGATACTCCGTGATCTTCCTCTCGGGCGGGACGAAAAACGCAAATCGAGGCGGCGTTCACGAGGTTATCGCGAAGAGCGTTGGAAGAGACGGAGCGATCCGGCTGTGCGATCGAGCGGCCGACCGATTGAAAATCGCCGCAACGAAACGTAACGCGGAATCAATCGGGAAGTTAGCCGCGGGCTAACGTTTCGCATTCCCCGATATCGTCTCTCTCTCTCTCTCTCTCTCCCTCTTCACCGAATACGACGCGTCTCGATGATGACCGCCGCTGCAGTTAGCGCGAGTTATCGCGAATCGTTGTGGCGAGCGCGGCTGGAACAGGCGATGCCGGGCAGCATCGTAATAAGCGGTAGCTCGCTGCCGTTGCCGCCGCTGCTGCTCGGGGAGCCGTAACGTCATAATAGAATAGCGATGTTAGTAATACCATCGCGCGCGGCGCGCGACTGGAGGCAAGCGGCCGGGCGATTGACTGGCCCGGCGCGGCATAGCGAGTCTAACCAATTTGCATCGCATTGTGTACTCGTTACGCCTCCATCTGCGCCGCTCTCGCATGAACGCACGAATATACGCCGGTTGCGGCCGAGGCGACGGACGGCGGCGGCGTCAGCGCCGGCTCGACGCGCGCCGGCGCCCGCGAGCTCTCCGGATCGGCCCGGCTCTCCCGACGTATCACGCTTTGCCTCGGCGAGTCCTTAACTCGTGGAAGATGCCGAGAGAGCTGATTACAGTCGATTAGAGTTGATTTCGTTAGGTTGAGAGAGACGCGTCGAGACGCCTTGTTCCTTCCTTCTCGACTCCGCTCTTTTAATTCGTGCTCGGGTTGGCTTATTTGTTGCTTCACGAGCTCGAGAAAGTTGAGGTTCTTCCGCGGGAAGCGGCTGTAAGGGTCTCGTAGAGGGATCGACTGTTGTCGTAATGTGATTCACCTGCGACTTTTACGCGGCGTCAGGCGCCGTCAATCCTCGAAGGGGAGGGCGCGTTGGCGTGCTCTGTGCGCCGACACGTTATCGTCGAAATAAGGTTTATGAAATGATTCTACACGTGTTTTCTTTTCTTCTTTCTCTTTCTTCTCGTCAGATATATTTGTTATCTTTATTTTGCGCGTATTTATTATATCAGTACAGACGCGTAGACAATGAGAGATTTTCGGGGACTTCGGCATTCTTGTCAAAATTCCCGAGACTTCCGATCACGAGTAACCGTTCGGAGCGCGTCTCGTTTCGATCGTCAGATTGGAAAAAATTGTCAAACAGACTCGAACAGGAGAGATCCCGCCTCGATCAAGCCGGTACTGGGCGAACGGCGTCGCCGTCGCCCTCGTTCCCTCGTCGTTCCGGGCATCCCGACGGCGAAACCGACCGCCGCGCACCGTTCCAGCAATCAGCGCCCTGGGAGAGCCGTGGAAACCGCGGAAACCCCCAACTCTATTATCGTTTCTGGCATCGTTATCGTTATTAGCCGCTCCATCGCCCGGCCACCGTATAGCGAAGAGAGATCGAGAGAGACCGAGCGATAAAGAGAGAGAAAGAGCGACTACGGCTGCAACTACCCGCTCGGTTACCAGCCGGACTTGGCTCATCGTGTGCTCCCAGAACCCGCGTTCTAAGGGTTGAATTTTCTGCACTTTCATTTAAAAATCCCAACGTTTCGATTTGTAAGTCTCCGACGGATTTCCTTCTATATATAAACCGAAAGTAATAATAATCAGCTACCGATACTTTCGATCGCGAACTCGCGATCTGAAAGTCGAAATTTGTACCTTCTTGTAAAAACTGTCACGTTTTAATCCGCAAACGTTTTAATTCTGATAAATTTGCCCCTGCAGAAACCGAAGGTTATGATAATTAGTTGATGATACATTCGATCGTGGGTCCCTTAAATTCGCGTTCTACCTACAATTTCAATTTACAATTGACTGATAGATTTTCTCCGGCATAAATCAAAGGTGATATTAATTAGTTACCGATACGTTCAATTGATTTTGAACTTCATCGTTGAAACCTGCACTTTTATTTAAAAAATCTAACTTGTCGATTTACAAGTACACTCTGATAGATTTATTCTTATCACTGATCACGTACAAAGGTGACAATGATTAGTCACCGATATGTTCGACGGCATACTAAATACGCACACTGATGGAGAAGCACTTAAAAATTTGCTTGCGGGAGACGTAAGATTTACTTCACAGAAATAAGGGTTTAAAATCTCTTCTAAAATAAGGTCTACTTCCCTATGAAATAAACCTTATATCCCACGGATAAACTTTTAAGTCCTCTTTTCTCAGTGTATTCTCAGTGTGTGTTTTCTCACCGACCGCGTTTCACGGGAGAAGTAATGTCGTCTCTCACCTTTCTTCGGCAATTCGTCGTTCCTCGCCCGATATACTTTCCGATTTACTCGTTCGTATCAACGATTCCGTTCCATACTATCCCGGTTATACTTTGCCGAAGTCTCGGATGCGAAGCGAACGACTCTCGTTGGTAGACCCGAAGCGCGCTCGTTCGTTCGGTAATAGTCGCGATTGATTGATCGCGTT